ATTTTGTATTGAATTAATTGAAGACTGGGATTTCTAATTAGATGAAAGGTTTTTAAGCAAATCTGAGACCAGAAGTTTTGGTCTAAGTTAACTGATAAATCTGCTTCCCATTTTGCAATAGGAAGTCATATTGATTCATCTGTTTTAGAAAGCATTCTGTATATTTTGGATAGTAATTTTGGGGTTTTAAGAGTAAGAAATTGAACCACACTTTGTGGTGTTTGTAGTTCAACTTGACCCGGTTTAAATTTCCTTTTTACTATGGATTTAATTTGTTGATATTCTAAAAATCTTTTCTTGTTGATCCCATATTGTGTAACTAGTCTGTCAAATGAAATAAATTCTGTTCCTTCTAGTATATGTTCTAAATATTTGATTCCTTTACAACTCCAATCTGAAAAGTTGATCATATTATTGTTTTGTAATATGTCAGGGTTGTTCCAGATAGGTGTACGTTTGCATGGGATTAATGAAGACTCCGTCAATTTTAGAAACTCCCACCATGCTGTCAGAGAAGAGCTGATGCTAAAGCTTTTGAAGCATTCATGTCGTTGGATGTTTGAGCTGATAAATGATAGATCTGAAATCTCTAGATTATTGCAAAGTGCTTGTTCTACATCAAGGAAAGCTCGGTTCCCCCGGTGTTTCAGTCTCGACATGGGGGCAGCAAGTAGTGACTAGTCAGTTGATCTAGTGCAGACTGGAGTGGACTGTATGGGCAGCAGAAAAGATCATGGCGCCCCCCCTGCCCTCCATCCAGGACCTGTACCTCTCAAAAACCAGAAAACAGGCAGGGAATATCATCACAGACCCCTTTACACCCTGCACACAGACTTTTTGATCTGCTGCCCTCTGGCAGACGGTACAGAAGCCTGCAGACCAGGACCACCTGACATAGGAACAGTTTCTTTCCCCTCGCCATTTCCCTCCTAAACAGTTGAACTGTCACACTGCTCCCACTGCTAGACTGCAACTGCACCTTATGTACATTCTATGGTATGTATTCATTTCTGTCATCCTTTATTTTATGTATATAAGATTTAGATTGGTTATTTATGGTTAGATGTGTGTGTATGTGTACGTGTATTGTGTTGTTTACATACTGTTGTGATTTACATTGCTGTGCTTGAGAGCCACCATCTACTGGAACCAAATTCTTTGTATGTGTTTCAGAATCAGAATCAGAATCAGAATACTATATTGATCCCTAGGGGGAATTATGTTGGTTACAGTGCTCCAGTACAAACAGTAAAAAAGACAGACAATGCAAGAAGTAAGAAATAGTGTAATATATACATATATAGAGAGCTGGGCGATAGAACAATAACGATATGTATTGCGAAATAACTTTTTCTCGATAAAAAAGTTTAACTATTGCGATA